TGTATTTAAACGGTAGATATAGGCATATTTTTATCCCCTAAAAATTTTACATCTGTTGGGGATTTCCAAGCTGAAAGTCTACTGATTCGAAAATTATAGGGATCCAAACTTACCTTTTCGAAAATTGCAGCCAGAAAAAAGGCTCCCGAAAATTCTAGGTGACCTTTTAAGGGTAAAAATCTGTTAAAAATGGCATGGGCAATTATACCATGTTTCAGATGTTCGCAAACCCTAGGAGAGGCAGGCAAGCAAGAAATTTTACAACAAATGTTCCGAAGATTCTAGATCTCAAATCGTCTTCCGAACAGATATTTTCCGAAAAATTGACGTTGGGTGCCCCTGATCAAAACGCCTCCGGTTTTGGCGATCACGAAAACGGCAAGGAAACTATGGATGTCCATACTTGCGTTTAAGTTTCGTTTTCTACAGTCTATACTAAACTAGGCAAAACACATATCTGGAGACAAATGTGTTGAGGTGTGAAGTCAGCGCATTCGTAAACCTTTGTTTTTGCTCTTTATACTTACATAGCCGTTGACCTCCATTTTGAAAAGTCTCCACCTTTGAGGCCGTTTTATGAAAACATCGGCTTTTTTTATGGTTTTAGTGTGGACGAAAAGCCAAAACGCATTAGAGGTAGGCGTTTCCAAACAATTATGCACTAGTGGGAAGCCGCCATAGATTATTTAGTGAGTCAGTAAATCGAGCGCTAATTATTCGTATACTACGACGTGAGTGCAGTGTGATTTTTAATTGTTGATAACCCATGTATCAGAGCTGTGGTTCAGAATAGTTGCAGTACCTTTTTCGTGCCATTAATTTAATGCCAATTGTAATTGTTGTTTCACTGAGTTATTAACAGGCTGTTATCAAACAGATCAGTTTCAGATCGCTAGTCTACAACGTGCTGTGGTTTGGTGCTAAGAAACAACAGCAATCGTTCAAGCTATGACTGCTTTAAAATCGGACGGATGTTTTGTTTCCTTTACTATCGAGTTTTTCCAGGCTATAGATTTAAAGCATAGCCTCGGTTATTTATATCACGTCACATAAGGACGTAAAGTGCTTTTAACTGTTTAGGCTTAATCCCAGTGCGTTGTGTGAGTGGCACAGTGATCACTAGGTTTTTGATGTTAGTACCCATACTTTAGTAATGTTGAATTAAATTTAACCTAAATAAAAGGAGACGTTAAGTGCAATTGCTGATCTCAATGATTTCAAAAAATATTTCAAAAGGACACTTATCCTTTACACTTCCTCGACAGAGGCCCTTAAGGCATCGTGGATTAGGGATGGTTTTTTTCCTTCAAGTTTGTCGTCAATTCTCACCCTGGGCACCCGTCTTAGTAGCTAGAAGCTTATTTCCCTTTTTTTTTTCAGAAAGAATAAATTGTGGCAATTTTGAGTGCTATAAGGAAAATGCATTCACTAGTAATAGCTATCGCTAAGTGCCAACGAGCAAATATTTTTCCTATACGCTCGCTGTTCAATTTGTTTAGAAATGTGAGTCATGAATTACCGTAATTTACGACAAACAGTTTGAACTCAATTCCATTGCATAAGCGAAAATTACCTTGAAAATAGTGAACTAAACTGTTCTACTGCATAAAGAATTTAAAAACGCGACTTTACATAGCATAGTTTTTGAGATATTGAAGTTCGTGTTTTTGTCCGAAGTAGCGCACAGATCATTTTGCGTAAAATTTAGGTTACGTACACTAAAAGGTCAAGCAACCCTGTCAGCTCAAGACAAACCGCTAATGTCAAATTCTATCAACTACGGGCTCCAATATCTTGAATCCCTAAAATGTACTTTTATCAGTCCAGCTAAAATCTATTCAGAACTAGGACTTTAATATGCAACCTAAGTGGATCCTTTTCAAAAAAAAAAACAAAAGAAAAGAAATAAACGAAAAAACATCTTTGCTTCTTCGCCTATCCCATGTCTGCATACAAATATTTCAAGCCTAAGGCTACAGGTCAAAGTCACACTCATTCACTATGTAGTTTCACTACCCTTTCTTCCTGTTGTAGCGTTAGCCGAGTACACGCGCACTCTAAGGACTTTTTTTTAATATATCGCGTGTTGCCTGTGCGATAATTCGTTTACCCAATTTCCAAAAAAGGAAATGAATTAATAACAAAACCCGTAAGCTTACAGCATAAATTAACCTGCATGAGGCTATGCCCGCATTTAATAGTCTGTTCAGGGGTTCACAGTAGACAAGCTTTTGAGCGACGCAAGTCAACCGGAATTACACCTTTTGCATTCTTGGGCAGTGGATTTGCTTAAAATTTCGGACAAATCGTCTGTATGAGAGAAAACGCCCTTGGCATTTCAAACTTGGCAGCGCCAAAGCATGTTAAAGAAAATACGTCTCACTTCCGGTTGAAGCGCGTGGCTCAAAACACCCTTGCTTAAGCTCCCTGATAGCGTCCGTCCACACATGAATGATCGTAAGTGGGCTGATATTCTTGTACAGTGTAAACAGTCGCATTTGTGGACAGTTTGAACCCTTGAACCAAGCTCAAGCCAGAGACCAAACGTGTCCTTCTGGAATTGAAACAGTGTTACGCAAGGTATCTACGGCCTGGTCCATCCCGACGAGATTTTGGTTGCTCGTTATCTGCCATAATAGCGCGTTTTTTGGCCACCAACGAAATCCCCAGTTCCCTCGCATTATGTTACTACTCAGTTCCACAACTACATGAACACTTAAATAAAAACTTTTCATTTGAATATCTACTCTTAGGGTGCGTTTTTTTGGGAAAATCCAAATGTGAATTTCCGAATCCAAAAACGTATTTTGCGTTTTTTGGGCAAATCCAAAAACGGATCATGAATCCATAAAATCCAAGCTCGGGGTGGATTCTTCGGATCAAATCCAAATCCGGATTTTTGAGATCCACAATCTGGGCGTTTAATTGTTTTTTTTTTTTCTATTCAAATTATTGGTAAACTGTTTTTAAACCCTTACTTGTGATTTTTTTGGTACACATGTAATGTCTGCTTACGCCGGTTTATTTTCCAAGTAATTTAAAAAAGAAACAATTCATCGGATTCAGTTTTAAATTCTTATAATTTTACTACCCTAAGGAGTGTATTCTATCCGAGAAACGTTTGTGTTTCAAACCGAAATATATTCATTTCGTATATTCATTTGTAGCTCATGTTGCTTTTTCTTCTTGTCTTCGCCATGTGGATCAGTTTGTTTTTTTCCCACGAGGAGTACGAGGACATGCCGTTGTCATGGTAAATGATCCTTTTTCGGATCTTCCGTTTTTTTTGGGTAGTGAAGAATCCGTATGATCTGAGATCACAAATCCGTTTTTGGGTTCTCCCAGAAAAACGCACCATTAGTGTTGGTTTTATAGTTTGGACAACAAACGGGTGTTGACCTTACCCTCGAAATTATTTTTGGACTCGCCCCAAATCTCTGTCAGTTTTAACGTCCAAGATGCCGGGAGAGTATTAAACCCGAAAACAGTATTATCGTTCGCGCAGCAAAATACGCCTCCCTTGCAGGCTAATTGACAGCACGTCACGAAAACCTCCTTCTTTTGGTGCATAAAATCGGGCATGAGGCAATGGAACTAAGGTCGGTCAACTTTTCATTTTTTTTTTTATAAACACTACTTTAAAAATGCAAATGTTACGTTGCAGCCGGCGGCCCACGCATCGTCTAAACCAGCAGCACCAGGCGCCATTCTTGACACCTTTCCCTGCGGAGTAAACGTGTTTCCCTTCTCAATTGTTTTGAGTTTCTACTGGGTTCTAATTGTTTCCGGAACAGAGGGGAGACTTGACTTTCTCCCAACGGTCTATTGAGAAATTAAAACAAATAATACTGTGAAAACAAAAGGTACTTTATTGATAATTTAGACATCCAAAACGTCCTATAAGAAGGCACTGCTTCTTCTACGCACACGGGCGTGCAAGTAGATAAACCGTATCCAAAATTGCACAACGGATAATGGCTGCGGAGGGGGGGGGGGAGGGGGAAGATGATAAAGAGTGTAGGGTGGGGTAAGGTTTATGAAAGCGCTGCTTTAAGGTGATTCCCTGGTTTTGCACTGCGCATCTCTTACTGCGCATAACAAGATGGCCTCCGTAAAAAAGAGCATGTGAAGTAACTGAACATCATTAAAATAAAGTTGACCGAAGAGAAACGCTATTGCAATATTTGCTGGCGGTTGTTTCTTGCCGAGGTGAGACTCAATGTGGTGGGAATGTGCATAACGTAAGCAGTAAGCGTGTTGCTGAGTTCGACTTCCTCACAGAGAACCTCGATAGTGGATGTTTAATTTGTGCTTATTCACTTTGATTTTCATTTAAACGCTTTCTTTATCAAATTGTGTCCTAAATGTGATATCTCGATGTAAATTCTGTAAAAACGGATTTTTTAATACTTTCTCCCCCCTTTCGCATACATTCTATTTTGAAACTCGCCCCAGTCCTCTCTCAAAAATCAAGGAAAACGCATTGGCGCGCACTTTCTGCAGCTCTACCGCAAAAACGAGTACGGTGACCCCCATTTTTTATTTCATGATTTTAATAAGGACAGTGCTTCCTTTCGGTGAGAAAAAAATTGGCACAAATCTATGTTCAGTTTTTTGGCAGTTTTACTAAATTGTGCGGATTGAGCTATCACGTGTCGAATAGCGCGTGTCCAATTTAATTCTACTTTGGAGCGTAAAGTAAAAACAAGGGCATTAAAAGGCATTTTTCTGGTACGTAAGTGGAAAAACAATACGTATAAGTCAAATTCTGTGCAATACCACATGCATCATTGAAAAAATCTTTCCTTTTGGCTAGTTTTGAGCTGCGCGCGGTTTTTGTTAAAGGGTCCAAAATAGCCGAATTTGTCAGCATTGTGACGTCAAAACGAGCAAGGTGACCCCCACTTTTTATTACCTTTTTATCATCTTCTTGACTTGTTACATCAGTGTACCAAGTTTCATCTACAATCTATATTAGGTTCTTTTACTAGGGAATCACCTTAACCCGTCACCTTCCCATTGTAAGTGTTCGAATCACAGCCGATTCTCTCCACCACACCCATGGCCGCGATAAGAGGGGATTCGGTTATTTCAGCACAAGGTTCTAACGCCGGTGGGATTTTGTGTTCACTACTGCCGTTTTCTAAAGAGTTTTTCTCTTTTTTCTCCTTCCCAAGGTTCGAGTCGGATGAGAGCAACTGGCTGATAGAGAATGCCGAAGGCGCGCTCGCTACAGGTTTAGTGGGAAAAGTACAAGTAACTGGAACGGGGACGGGAGCGCTAAGCAGTATCCTTTCTTCCTCAACGCTCTCTTCGCTTTGCGAGGCGGGGGATGTCTTATCGCCTTCCTCGCCGCCTGTCGCAGATTCAACACCGCTGGTCCATACTTCCGCTTTCGCTTGCTGCAATTGCGCTTGCGATGGCGCATGCTCCTCTTGTTCCTCGGACTTAAGACTGACCGGTGAATTTTGCTGGCGCATTTCAGCAAGCAAACCTTCACTTGTCTTTAGTTTGTCTTCATAAATAAGCAATTTCTCTTGTGATTGAGTCAATTGCTGTTTGCAGTCTTTGAGTTGATGCTGAAGCGTTAAGATGGTTGACTGCATGCCTTCAACTTCCTCATCTAGTTGGATAACGAAGTCGTTCAACTCTAAAACGGGATAATAATCAGTAACTTAAATTTTAACAATCAGAAATTTTAATTTCAGTAATTTTACACAGGAATCAATATCAGATACATGTAGATGCCAAAGGAATAGCCAGCGACCATTTTGTTGTCCATACCATCATTGGTACGACTTCGGCCCAACTGTGATTAGTAGCGTCACTCCAACAAGCCACGGTACACCTCTCTTTTCAGGACAATCAAGACTCTACAAACACGTGTTAACAACTCCATATGCTCACTCACTAAAATAAACTGCATATCACACCTCGAAGAGTAAAAAAAGGTCCCAGGCATCAACAAATCTGTAAAAAAAACCTTGGTTACCGCTAGTCTGCGAGCAAGCACAACTCTCGCGATTTCCAGTCGTAGAGCTTGCTTGCAGGCTACAATCGGGGAAACAATAGTTAAAACACTTTGCCATAAAGACCCTTTGTGACGTTTTGCACTTAAAAAGTAGCCAGCGTGGCAGGCGTTCGAAGGGGAAGGGAAAGTGAGAAATGAAGCTTTCCTTACCCCACCCCCTCCAAGCACTGTTAGGCCTCTGTACCAGCTGCCAGTAACAAACAACAAACACCACTGACAACTTGAAATGGAGGGGGGAGAGGAGAGGTTCAGATGTCTTGCTCTCCGAAGTACCCCATTTGAGGATAGTCTCAACAATTTTGTCGGCAATTGCAAGTTACCCAAGACAGACATAAATAAAGTAGAGTGTTCATTCAGCACTTGCCCACCGGCCACGGAACAAGTTGACTTTAACATAGCTATACAAAGAAGTCAAACGAATGCATAGTTGAGCGGAACCAGGTAAACTTGAAACTGTCGCCCCTGAAGTTAAACTAACATGAGTTTCCATGTAATTGTGATTTTTTCACAATGCACGTCACAAAGCCGTGATTTAAGTAAGAGCTTGTTACTCCCTAAAACAACAGAATTAACTTAAAAAGCCACGTCTTTGACCCAGACCCTAGAAGTGTACCAGTCAGAAAGCAATTCACTCTCACTCTTGTTAACTCAATTTAGAACAGTAGCTAGCTTCGCAGTATTGTCAGCCTCACCATCTTGACTCCCTTTCAGTTCATCGCCGTATTTTTTCTGAAGAGCAAGTTCAGCTTCCAGTTGAGCGACTCGTCCTTGCGACAACTGACGACCGAGCTCCTGATTTTCCTGGATCAACATGCGGCATTTCGCCATCAGTTTCTTACCAGTTACACTGTAAAACACAATTCACACAAAACCAGTTAATTTTGTTGTTCAACACTTTCACTCCCAGGACAGGCCAAACTCAAAAATTGACAAACGTCAAAATTTCACGTTTTAGAAATGCGGAAAAACAAACAGCACCATGTTAAAGGACAGCAAAAGTGGTTTCATTTGAATGGTCAAACCGTAGGGTTTCTTCCACAAATTCAAAGTCAGTTAGAAATACGTACAAAACAAGTAGAAACCACGCGGAAAGTAGTGCAAATGATGTTTCCTTTGAATGGTCAGACTGGAGTATTTAATTTATACGCTCATAAGTTAAAACCTCCTTCAATACTCCATCACTCACTGGAGGAGAGAAAAGGTTAAATAGAGGCTTCAGGTTAAGGCTCCATTACCAACCGCTGTTCGGGAAATGAGCCCGTGCTCCTCCCTCGAGCCTAGGTTCAAGGACGAGGACGACTACGAACGAGGACGAGATTTAACTTCAATTTTTTTCGTGCATTATTGTAAACTCGACCCCCCAGAAAATTTTTCAATGCACTTTTTTTCAGCGGAAAAGTTAGCACGATTATTAGTTTTTATTGAAGCTCCCGAAGGCATAATAATAAAACTTCTAACATTTGTGATAACTTGTTTTCGCCACTGGGACATTTTTGCTAAACCCCGTAGTAGAATGACGACGGCTACCACGTTTCCCGCCAAAATGACGCTGGTTCACGCGCGCGAACTACTTAGTAATAGAAAGGCTAGCATCACGTTTACGGCAAACGGCAAATGTTAATATTTGTACCACAAGACCAAGATTTCCATTCACCTGTCGTTTACTGTAACTATAGCTACACGAAAATCGGTAGATTCGCACCAATTCTATCCATAAGAATTGTTTTAAGCTGTTTTTATCTGCTCATTTCTCATTTTGAAAATTTCTCAACTTGAATCTCACGTTTGCTGTTTGCCGTAAACGCGATGCTTAATCTCTCTATTGAAAAAATCTCCTACTCGCAGTCGTTCTCTTGTCTCAGAACCTAAAAGTCTCTTTTAAGTACAGGAAGAACGGTAAGCACACCCGAATGTTAAATGTTACTTCACTTAACTAGTCAACCCCTCCATAACTTACTACTGCTTCTGTAGTTAAAGACGTCGCCAGGACAGATAAAAGTTTGTTTATACCTCTTTTTAAAACGTTTTCACCGCGAACTGAGTACCAGTAAAACAAAAAGTGGGTGAAATGACCGTAATTCCTCATTCATAACTGGCAATAAACGCACCGTCCAATTTGATCTTAACTGGTGCAAATAAAAAAGGTTCATAAGAGACGGAACGGCTCCGGTAGAAACAAGTGCCGGTTCTCAATGAATACTGGTTGGTTTTACACCTGCAGGTTTTGCCAGAGATTACACCCGAGAAAACACAGCCAAGGTACGTAACATCCCCGGGGAACAGGTGCAAGACCGTTTACACGTTGTTGTTGTTGTTGTTATTTTTCCAGACCCCACGTACCTAAAGATCGGTACCTTGGCGAGCGTTTACACGTTGGAAAGAAAAGAAAAGAAAACTGCACGTACGGAACCGATCTTAGAGGACAAAATGTTCCCTGTTATGGACTTTTTTAGGAACGAAACGGGTAACATGCAAACTTGTCTCCTTCGCAGCCGTTTTTGTCTCGTCACGCTAGGGCGATCTGTTCCTCGGTCATGCCTTCAACGCTCCTCCCCAACAGTTCGAAAGTAAGCAGCCATTTATTGAGGAGGAGCGTTGCGCGACGAGACAAAAACGGCTACAATGTAGATTCAAACGTATCGTTTTTGTTCGAGCCGTAACGTTCCGTTTCGCTCGCGTAAACGGGACTTTTCATCCGAATACAATCGGTTCCGTACCGCATTTTTGTTTCCTTTTTTTAATTAATGTGTAAACGCTTGTCCACTCTTCGGTACAGGTCTACAACATTTTTGGGGTGCTGATCTCAAAAGGAGAAAAACAACAACAACAATAACGTGTAAACGGTCTTGTACAAGTACGCAGGACTCCTATTAAGTACTCTGCCTTTTTGTACGTGCAAACAATCCGATGTCGTCGAGGACCGGTTCTTGTTTCCACCTGGGCCTCCAAAAGCGGACAACAGCAGAAAGGTTCCGTGTAAACAAACTGCTCATAAAAAGACCGGTCCCGTGTGAACAGAAGCGGTCCATTTCGGTATCATATCTGATCCACTTGGCACAGAAAAGACCTCGTGTGAACAGAACGTAAGAGGTCAGTGCTGTTGTCAGTAAGTCATTCAAGGTTGCACTAAAAAATCAGCAGCATCACCTGTCGGGTGTAAACTTCCAAGCACTGAGGTCATTCTGAGCTTGTTCCAATTTCTCCTTTTCAGAGTCCAAGTCTGTTTTCATTCGTTGAAACAACAAATTCACCGCAGGATCCAGCAATTTTGACCGTAGTTGTATTGAAGATGGGTTTTGAGCTTGTTTCAAATCGTGAATTTGGGTCTGTCGACAATAAAGAACAAAGTGTTGGCCTTGTTGCCTTCCTTTTGGTAGACAGTACGCCCTATGCAGCCTTAACTAACAGAACTTAAGCGACGTTGACAAACAAATGACAGACACGTTTGACTCTGATAAATGACGGTTCACCTTTTTAAAGTGGTTATGTCACGGTCTTTGCTATCTTTTTCAAAGCTAAAAAATTCATCACATCAGTTGAATTTAAAATTAATGGTCAAGTTTTGTTATTGAAGACAATAGGTACTGAAACTGTTTCCTGTCATCTGCTGCTAAGAATGGAAAGATGGACACGGATTGAAGCAAAAATCACCAAAAAGTTATTGTAGTTAGTGCTTGCTTAACTGTACAAGAGCATTTTCTGTATGAGTAAAAGCAATACGTTATGACTTAAGCACAGAATTGACCTACACTGTAAAACAGCAAAATATTCGTGACATGACCCCTTTAAAGAGAGCGAGCGACAACGAAAAAAATAGAGCCTTTTAGCTGGATTACAAAGCCACATTTGGGTCATTTTCGGAAATAATTAATACATCCCAAAGCAAGCTGTGTAAGGACTTTGGATTGAACCAAAAACGAAACTTAAAGCCTTGTTAAAAGTTAAAAAAACTCTAAGCCTTGTTGGGAGACAAAATTGATATAGAAAGGCAGTCTACCTTTGAGAAGCAAAGTTTTTCCTACACTGTAATTGCAGCAGTGTACCTTTTCTTCTTCTCAGTCTATCGATTTTCTACAGATTTTTACCAGTTTCAATCGGTATGCAAAATATAACAATTTCTGAGGTTATGAGTCATAATCGGAGAAGAGGAATATAAAATAGCCTGGTCTGTGAACATGGGAATTAAACAGAAAAGCTGACGAGGGGGCTGATTAAAACAATCTGCAAATGTTTTAGAGAACTTACACAGTCAAGAATCAAGTTTTAGTGAGTCCCACGAAGTACGCTTCATTTTTCAGAAGAAACAGTACCTACATTTTCTGGAGATTTACGTTCAACAGAAAAAATTGTTCAGGCATCAGTTTAAGCTAACCATAGTGAAAAGGCAGTGATTGAATGATAGTACTACATGTAAGGGAAGGCATGTAAAGATGGAGTGTCAATTAACATAAATCTTCAAAACCACAACCGTTGATTGAAACTGATAGCAATCAATGAAAATTGATAGTCACAATCCTCATTTGTGACTTTGATTGATTTCCAGTAACAACTGATTTATTACCAATGATTTTTATCGATTGTAACAATTTTGATCATGTAACAAAGGCGTGACATGCACATTTTGATGTGACATGTATAGTATTATAGAGAACACAACAAAATTCTTCATTTCTGTTCAAACAAAACAATAAATTCCTGCTTGGGAGCACTGCACTACACTGCAGAATCGGAGACTTCCGAAAATGACCCAAAAGACCACACGTATTATGCTGGATGCGGTGGATGCACTGGGCCCCCTTCAATTTTTCTTAAAGCACAGACTTAATAAGAGAGGAGAGTGTGAGCTCATGTTACCATAGTAGCAAAATTTCTGGATCTCAACAACCTTTCTTCCCAGCAACAGCCATTTGTATTGTTAAACGATGGAAGTGTAGTATGTGCTACCGTTTTGCTCTTGAGTGCAATCATACGGTCCAGTATAAGTGTCCGTGTATCAGCGAAAACGAGGTTAATTTCATCAAACACATCGACGAAACCTGTAGGCCTAGGCCTGACAGATTTATGGAACATTTCCCTTCAAAACAGATCTCCCCGTTGGCCGCAATTTTTCTTCCCCAGGCCACAAAATAAACTGGCAAAGTCAACGTATACAAGCAAAGTTACGCCTACCTTTATTTTGGCTTTATTTAAACCTGGTTCCACTTCTGGCATCATTTCTACACATTCGTTAATTGGTAATTTGCTTCAAAATCCTCTCGCGTTTTCTTCTCCACCTACGGCCCGGTAACGGCAAGTCACTCTCATTCCAACCACGTGACCCACAACGTTTCGTCCGAGTAGAACAATGAGGCCCAGCTATCACACAGGTGTTTCTTATTATAGTTAATCCAATTTTAAGATGTTAATTGCTAGTACTTGTGAAAAACTAGACATATATATCTATATTTGCTGTTAATGATTAATTTTACAAAAACAAATCAGCGGCTTGCTTATTCCCACTAGGAGATAACTTCATTTGTTACTAAAAGCTACACGTAAGAAAATAAATTTAACTTTTATGTCCCCATCAGCTTTGCAGATAAAAGTTAAAACTTTTAAGCTCAATTTTGTGTACGGTTAACTGAACATGTTGGTGATGCATAAGATAACAAAAACAATTATGCCAACAATCTATCCGCTGGATTTTGAAAAAGAAATTCGCGAGTTTCGTGGACAACTACAAGCGCTTAAATTGCCACCAATAAACCGGTCGAATGGGTTTGAAAACATCTTAAAAAGAGAGGATAAATTACAGGAAAACCTGAAACTTCTTGACATAACGACAACTTCAAAAAGACGCAAGTTATAAAGGCAAAAAATAAAGAAAAAGGCTAAGAACGTCGAGGCGGAAGTTTCTTCCAAGGTGAAAAAAGCCAAGAAGAGCGAGAAAGCACCTTCAGTGCGAAGAATTTCAGGTGAAATTACAAAGTCCTTCTTAGTTATTTCAAGTCTCAGTGGTTCAAGGTACACTCTACTTCAAACACAAGCATCAGAGGGAAGCGTTGGAAGCCATAATGGGCAAGAAACACATGACGCATATGATGGAAGTAAAAATGAAATAAGGTTCCATTCACCATAAAATAAATAAAGAAGGGATATCAACGAGGAATGAAAACACATCAATTCTATTCAATTACAGTAGTTACTGGATGTAACATATCGTAAAAGAAAATAGCGAAGAGTTTTGTCACAACTTGACTTAGCTCGCACTTGATAAATTCTTCCGAATTTTTATTTTAAACCTTGTCTTGTTATCTCCAACAGTGCAAGCAATGTGAGGTAGTGTTAAACTATGCACTTTTTGACTGAGTGGGAGGACCGGACGGGAAAATATTGGCTGGTCCTGACCGAAAGTCAAATGTTTTCCCGTCCGGCCCGACCTAAATCAGTCAATAAGCATATTTTATCATATGACCGTTGTGTTATTTTTCTGACAGAGCGAAAAAGCGTTCATGGCAGCATTTGCCTCGTTTCGTGCGCGCTTTTCTAGCAGGGCCTTACGCGTTTTTCCGGCCCTATCATTTCACGCGTACGGCCATCGGAACTCTTTTTTCATATGGTTTTCCAACGAAATTGCGCGCGAGGTCGTACGGATCACATGATAAAATGTGATGAATCACGTGACTCTACAGTGATAAGCAGATCTCGGTCTTGTGCGATCTTGTCTCGGTCTTCAAGCGATCTTTAGTTATTACCTGACTTTTAATCTCTTCTTTGAGCGGAAAGTTTTTACATTTTTACGTAAGAATTTCTCTATTAAAAATGAATCTTGTCCCCGTTGGGTAGAGCCTCCGACAAGTCTTTTTTAACATCGGGGTGACTTTTTCACTGCCGCAATAAAAAACGCCAACTTTGGTTCTAAAACGAGAGTAAAAAGGAAGATTGTTAACGGCAATATTAGTAATAATAAAAAAGTGAAAACCCAACTTAGCTATCAGTTGACTTAGAACAGGGCTCCTGCTTAGAATTATAATAGAAGTCATGTTACCAATCTCCATAATAATAATAAAAATAATAATATAATAATAATAATTATGATAAGGTAATGATAATAATAACGGTTTAATGATGTTTTTTCTACGGACGGAGTAGCTCTAGATCTACATTCATTGCAAGGCTATCTAACTAATGACATATATACATTTGTAATATGGATAGAAAATGAAAGTACATGTAGGTATATAAAATTTATATTACTAAGTCTTAAAAGCGATAAGTCAAACGAACATATATAAGTCAAAAACAATAATCTAACCGGGATTCGGCCGGAATTAAAAAAATTTACTCACAAAATAATGTTTTAGCATTAGTCTCAAGTTTGATGTCATTGGCAGCAGACTGTTGAATAACTTGGAGGCTGAAACTTGAAAAGTTCCTGTTTCAAGAGGCATGACTAGTTGCGGTATAGCACTTTAGCGTAGATCTCTGGTAGTTTGGCTTCTCCCCAGAGTTAAATAGCTCGGCCAGTGGGTATCATATAAGGCTCTATGAGTTGCTAGCAGATGAAATTCTGTTCTCACCCTAAGGGTTGATTTCCAGAGTAGCGTAATTTTTGCGTGTGTACGTGCGAAAAATTTACGTCCGCAAGTAATATACAGGCAATGCATGACGGGTCGCTCGTAAGCGTAGAGTTGAACCTCGATCAATTTCTTGTTTAAGTTCAGCACTTTTTATCTTGCGTCTACTTTATTTACGTGATTAAAATTTAGGCCGCATTAACGTGCGTAGCCAAAAACGCGTCAATGGAAATCAACCTTAACAGGGAGCCATCCTAACCCAGTAACATCAGTCATTTTGCGTTACGGTTGTTAACAAAAATTACGGCGCATCTTTGAACTCGCTGTGATTTTGCTTCAAGTTATATTGACAACCCGTGTTCTCTGTGGCACTTTTCTCACCCTCGCAATACAGTATGTACTGACTCATTGCCCAGCCTTTTCAGTTCTTAAATGGGGTTCTTATTGAATTCTAACAACTGGCATGAATTCTCGCGCTAATTGTGCAGAAGCAAAACAGTATACACTCCTCAGCGCCCGCACTAAGCCGGTTATAGTTAACTGCCATGGCAGGCAAAAGCCGGCACAGTGATCCAGTGTCATCAGTGCCTGAATATGAAAGTGTCAGAAAATTATACCTGGGATTTTCTCTGCTAACTCGATCAAATATTGCTTTCCATGAAGGTTTGTTTTTATGGAGTCTGCTCAAAAGCCAGCCATTGCACAAATTTTTATGTATCTAAGAAACAAAAGAGAACAAAATATATAAATCTATAAAAGAAATCTAGCTAAAATGCTAGATAACTAATCCAAAGGTGTATAGAATGCAAAAACATTTATATCGACTCCCAACATTTAACGTGAAAATCTGTTGTTTCTCCTTAAATTAAGTGAAGAGAATTTTTTTTCCTTTTTTGAGAGCAAACTTTACAAAATAGTAACTTGAATTTAATACTCATATTAAATGGACCCTTTGCAGCCAAACAGCAAAATCATTTTTTGCCATCATGGTACAAAAACACCGAACAAGAAACGCAATAGTGACCTTCAAAATAAAAGAAATCAGCCTTTTTAAAAAATGATGTACTCTTAGTTTTTTTTTTTTCTTGTCCCACGTCTCAGTTACACGGTGTCCCCAGTCGTCTCCCAAACTTATACTAGTTATAGCTAACGCTAAGGGCCAACGAGCAAAGATTTTACCTATACGCGCGCTGTTCAGTTTGTTTACGTCATAATAGTTACCTCACACTACCTTTAAGTTAAATCGCTTCGAGATTGATTCTGCCTTGGAACTTTCGCGCACATGTTCGCTCGAAAATAATGCATTCTCTTTTTTAAAGGAAGATATGATCATCGCAGTAGTAATTGCAATTTAAGCGATTGCAAATTAATCCGAAAAAAATTTCGGGACTTCAACTGGATTCGAACCTGAAGCCTCTGCTCGTTAGCGCTGCAGTGCTCCAACCAGTGGAGCTATGAAAACCCGTACATTGGGAGTAGGGCAATTTGTTGAGTTCATCTTAAAGGTACAGGTTCACGGTAAAGCGCATGCTCTTAAATTAGAATACTTTTTTCCAATTTATTATTAATTCTATCGGTTAATAATCCCACTCACATGTATCTCAGCGATCTCAGAGAGTATTTCAAAGTAGACGGGTATTTCAGAGTAACCTGAAGTAGGATGGAGGAGTCTCCCCAATTAGTAAGTCACTGTGCCTGAGCTATAAGGCCTGAGACTTTAATAAAGTTCATTATTATTATCATTATTAAAATCGCAGAAAAATTAGTGGATTATGCCCACAGTACCAACTTTGAATTTAATGTTGACCCGAAGGTTTTTAATTTCCATGTTTGATTAATTTACAGCTATTTGCAAATATTTCAGTTGATCAAGTGCAAGTGATTGCCTGGTGAGTGTGCAGATTGGTTCTTTGATAACATTATGACATGATCAGAGAATTAAGAATTTATATTGCGCAGCTTTCATGACGAGAAGATCTTATTGCTTGCATAAACGATACTGCGTGTCCTGACAGAAAAACAGCATTTTGATAAATAAGCATGCGCTGAACCGTGAGCCTGTCCCTTTAACCCGTGAAAGGAATGGAACATAGAATCATGATGTGAACTGGCATGGGTTCGATCTGTTGAGTTCATGTTTGCGATTCAAATAGAGTCGACTAGGCAGGAGTCAGCTGCGGTGCCATCTCATGCTTCCCTTCAGCGAGGTGTTTTGTCCCGTGTTACCGTTTAGCTGCAAGGAAACCAGTTGGCAACTACAGAACCCCCCAAAAATCCAAGAATACGACTGTTTTGGTTTTAGCTTCTACTCATAAACTAAACCTCTTTCGATTTAAGTAAATCTCCGTTTTGAAACAGCCAAGTAAACATCAAATCACCAATGCCAACTCATTCATTACCTGATCATTCAACTGTGATCCGGAGCAAGTAACGTAAAAGTTGCATATCAGGAAATCTGGTCGGTTACTTTCCCACAGCTGCAAATAAGAGAATACAACACACATACTTGACTATTCAGAAAACGCACGAATCTTTTTTTTGGGCTGTCCATTACGATTGCACACGATGATGGCGGATAGTGGAAGGTCCGATGACAGCGACGGCAACGCGAACATCAAAGGGACGGACCATTAGAAAACTTATGAGGGGGGGGGCGAAGTACAAACAAAATCTTCGCGCGAGGGAAAATGAGATTAAAAGAAAAAAAAAACAAATTTCTGCACGCCAATTAACCCTAAAAAATATTCATGCTATGGCCTAAAAGAAATTCATACAAGGAATGTGATAACGAAAAAAAATCCTGCGGCTCGAATATTCCTCACCCCCCCCCCCTCCCCCCCATAACTTTCCTAATGGTCCGTCCCAATAAAGCAACAGGTTTAATAAACAAAACAATTTTGCACGCTTTTTGTACATTTCCTTGCCGTCACTGAACGACTATGAAGACATTTAGGGAGTGAGTAATTTCACGTTTTATGGAGGACGTAAACAAGCAACAACGAAATTTTCTTTCTCTTTCTGAACTTGGATAAGGCTCTTAGGAATTCAACTCCAGGAGAGTTGGCTTACGTTTGACCAAATAAGTGAGTCGGAATAATCGCCATTAATATTGAAAGAACGCGAATTCAATTTCAAGTTCAAGCAACGTTTTCCCTGGCGTCGCCGTCCTCGCATCTTAATATAGAATCAGACGTTTACCCCGGGCAAACCGACAAACGTCAATTTTGACCACGTGATTAAGAACGTGGTAAAACAAGATAACGAAGGAACCGTCAGTTAATTAATAGTATGCAATAAACTACGAAGATAACCAGAAGGCTCCAGTGGTTTGCCTTATATACCTAAGTGATGGTTAATCAACGATATAATGTCAACGATGCAATCGAAATAAGTCCCATTATGGCTCGTGGTTGCGGGTAGGGCCATGTGATCACATCATCATATTCAATACATCGTCTACCTATCACGTAGCGTTGGTAAGTTTATCTCTTCCAGTATATCGCTCCGAGACCTTATTCAAAAGTCCGCGTTTGTAATAATGCGTTTCTCCATTTAGGTTTGATCAGTCGTCACGTGTTTTTGACCAATTAACCGACACAAGGTTGCAATCACGGTCAAACTACGGCTGACACCAGTGCTAGTGATCGACTAGCAGAGATGAAGTGGTTGGTGAGAGATACAACCTTTTTGTGAATCTTAAGATGAGTACTGAAAATGCACAGGTTATCCAAACGTCAGAAACTTTCCACGGCAGTTGTTTTCACTAATATACCCACCCGGAATCGATCATATTCCACTTACTTATGAAGATCTATAATTGCCGCATGCAGCATACGCAAGCCATTTTTTTGTTGTAGTTTTCTTCTCTTTAGGTTTATGATATATGCAAAGTCTCATTTCTTTGGACTTAAAGAAATATTTTTATTTTTTTCTAAGCTTGCGAGCCGGTGGAATCCTCCAAATCCTGCAATCTGGTTGGTTCTGAGAGCGGGCAGTTTTTCACGATCTTGCCCGCTAACCCGGCTGGAATCGTTGGCAGCTTCATTCGCAAGTTTGTTTGTTGTTTGTGAATGAGCAAAACCCGTGATTTTTAAACCATTTCTCTTTTAAAACTTGCGCTGTTATAAGCATTAGCTATGAAAAAGTGAATTTTATAAGTCAGACAAAAAATCTGAAGGAAGAATCAAGCAAGTCACCCACTCACCGCAGGAACACCACTAAAGTAAAGCAAAACAGGCGGCTCCTAATGTCGCTTCACTAGATTTATAACCTACGCTGTAAATACTGCAATCTTGCTTTTATGCACTGTTTATTCGACCTTTTTGCTCTGTTTGTAGTTTTGTTTTCCCTTTTTGCTGTCTGAATCTAGATTCTGCCGTTTTTCATTGAATTTTGCCTAGCTAGGTTTCTACTTTTCAGAACTAAGGTTGTTGTCATTGTTCCCGATTTAGCTTTTAATCAGACTTAAATGAACAACTCGAATCATAATTCCAGCAGTCGGTTATCGCCATTTTCATTTCTTTGTTTTTATACTTGTTACCCATATCGCCTTCTTTTAGTCGAATTCAATTCAAATCCTTAAGATTGGTATCATGTGTAATTAGCCCTTTTTATAAAGCCTTATTTAAAAAAGGTAATTATTCAGCCAAAGAAAATCTTTGCTGTATTTTTTTTTCCTGTGGCATTTAACATCAAGTTCGTCAATTCTTGTTGACACTCATATTATGAATTGTCTACCAAGACACAAAAACCTTTATTCTAGAAGAGAGCTTAATTGTGATAATATAAATTGCAAGATAAAAATCATGTTGTAATGTTTTGTTTTGCACGAACGCGTCCTACTTCAACACACATAGGTTAGAGGCTGAAGCAAAGTTTTCCAGAACTGAAACTTTTAAATCTCAGGTGGAAAAAAAATAAAAATGTTATTCACCGGCCTGGGTCAGTCCCTGGGAGAAACTGTGCCCATGGGCGGTACTCAAGATTCCCCCAATACGAACCTACTATAGCTGGTGAATAACATATATGTCTCCCAAGGATGGCCAATAAAATCTCACCTCGTTATGAAGGGAATGCAAAAGGTCCACAAACCACTGGAAGGACTCAGTATGCTTACACACCCACAAAAAATACAATCGCTTTAGCTTGATATGCCGTCCACCAGCAGATGTTAATGTTCTGAAGACCAAGAACAAAACAACAATAATATTTGTCATCAGTGACGCACACACACTTTTTTGTTCTTACCACTTTTTCAACATCATCTGTGATATATTTAAATGAACAGACGTACGGAAGCATGATCTATTTGTTAAGTGCATCATAGACAACAACCAAAGAAAGCGCTGAAAGAACAGAGATAATCACTTTAAAAGTTAAAAAACCTTAGGATCATAGCCTGCCAATACAGCCGTCTCTCCTCGCTCCTCGCCGCTAGGGACGAGTTTACGCGGAGCGAGAAAAAATGGCTGTATTTGCAGACTATACTTACCACTTATCACATTATTTATTAAGGGTATTTATTTATGTATTTTTTAGGTTAAAATTCCTCCACTCAATACGCGAAACAAAGCGAGGGTTTTGAAATTCAAACTAGGGACATGCCTGCCTCGACCTCTGAGAGAACCTTTCTACATCTTACCTGAGTTCATTGATGATAGCAGCAAACGGAGTAACACCAATCCCTGTCGCTATACACACGCTGACATCATAACTCCAAATATCCTACAAATAGTTGCACTCGTTTAGAAGAGAATGATCCACTAGAGATTTCACCATTTTAAGGGGCATCACTGAAATAACCCCCAGGCCGAAAGCGATCGAGTAAGGACCTCTTCGAACTCAGAGAACGACGCTTTCTCCATATTGAGTCTATTGACGGTGTGTCCCTACCCGCATGCCCTAGTACATTAAAGGAAAGTCAAAGTAATAGTTTATACCCATTCGTCCCTGAGCCGCCCGTAACCGCCCGTGCGGATCCACGTTCCTTCTACGGCTGGTAGCGTCATCATTTTTAACGGTCAAGGACAACTTAGTCCGCTAACTTAAGAGATCTTTCAAACCATGGACAAAAAGGCAAAAAAACCATTCAACATTGACCCGAAACAGGAGCCCTAAAATTTCCATGAAAATCTTGTTCCAATACCCACCTACCTTTCCTTTCATCTGATCCTAAGATTCTAAGAACTTTCTCGAAAACTTTTCATACCAAATTGAAGCCACTAAATGCCCAGCGAAAGAAAAAAAATAATGTGGCAAAAAAAGCGAAAGAAGAGGGGAGGAGAGAAGGCGAAAATAAATAGTCAATACCGCTGTGTTGTTGTTTTTTGTTAAAACCCGAAAAAGAAAATTTGTTTTCTGCGCGTGCCCGGACTTCCCAAGTTAATATTTTGCACCTGGATCAGAAGGCCGAGAAGTGTACGACATGTAAACAGCTTTGTGGTACGTTTTAGCTTTTTACAGCAAGACGACCAACAAAAAAACACCCAACTAGCTTCAAAACGCGTTTTTTCGGCAAAATTCCCAGAGGCAAATAGGTTAACAGGGAAAAAAAGTTGATCTAGAAAATTTAGCTCGTTAGTCCCGTACTGTAACCTTACCATGCATGGGCTTCCGTAAGGGCCATCAATGGCTATTCTTTTGTTCCATATGAAGAAGAAAAAAGATAAACTTTTAAAATTATTACGTATTGCTGTTAGATCTATAAAGAGATTTTGTTTTGTTTCCTTGTTTGTTTTAAAGGAGAACGCTACTCTAAATGGCGACAGGTGGGAGGAAAACAGTTCAGTAAGTTCCGTTTAAGGTACTAAGCTGATACACTGCTGATAAGCTAAAAAGTTTTCAAGAGCAAGTTAAGAGGCTGTTATATTGCAAAATCTTTATAAGTTACATTAGCAAAGGGAACGACTGATATACACGGACACGAACCCCTGGGCCATTTTCAAAAGTTCCATTGCAGCCATTGCTTTTCTTAACATATCTCGTCCATTCAGGCTAGCAAAAGGTGTTATTTATCATAAAGAATACTGAATTACGTGTACGTGAGAGGTTTTGAGTGTTTTGATCGGCTGCATGTTGAGGGGGGCATTGGGGGGTACCTGATACCGCAATACCGTAAGAAAAATTGGGAAATACCGATACCGCAGGTATAATTGGTCACGTTCTCTACGTGTTTGCCACGTCAAGCATGTATTCACCAGAAATCAACCTCAGACATTGCGAGAAAACATGAGAAGACCTTGAATTGATCAGTTCAATGATTGAAAAGCCCAGTTATTACCATTAAGTCTAAAGTCTTTAACTTTTATTAACCTGTTCCAGCTTACTGTGGTTCGTGCTGCATATTTTATTAACCCGCTGTATTAGACAGGAGAGTGCAAATAAATGGTACCGCCGGCAACACCATGAAGGATCTTCTCTTACCGAATACCGTTAACAAAAGGATGAAGGATGAAATACCGCTTGAAAAACAGCTCAATACCGCAATATCGTAAACCCCCATGTCCCCCTCCATGTTGCTTAGCTAGTTCTGAGTTGATTTGCATTATAACCATAAGGGTTTAACTTAAAAGCTACACTCTACCTACTTTATCTGGGATGTCAGATTAGAAAAGGATTTTCCATTTTCTATTCCACAATTGAAGCTTTTCTTGTCTTCTTCTGCTGACGCTTGAAGCAATAAGTCCGTAAATTTCTCTAGGAAAAGTACAATGAATAACTAGCCGTGAGAGCTGACTTCCTGGGTCATTAAGTATCAATCTATCGTTTAAAATTTCACGTTTTTTGTTTGTTTTTAGTCGCTTTGCTTTTGTACTTACCCGTCCAATTTCCCAGAGTCTTGCAGTGAATGGAAAATGAGGGATCATCCGACACGGGACACTGTAGTCAGAAATAAGACGTAAGTGAGGTACGTTGAATCAGTGTACCCAACACTTTGCTCACAGTAATGTGTACAAGTCTTTTACAAGAAAGATGAACTGTAAAAAGAATAAAAATTAAAGCCTACCCGCACCAAAACGCATTAGTTAAACGGCTGTGGTTTCTGCAAGGCCAGAACGGTCCTTTGTATGGATTACTTTTATAAGTCAAGATTGGTTGTTCAGGTTCCGTAAGGTTGCAAAAGATTAACGTTTTCTTTGGTAGTCGTAGTTCTCTTTACCTAAGACGGTTGCAACTCTACAATCGACGAGGGTGTTTGATTAGTTTTATACAGAGCCTGAAACGTGAAGGTCACAAACAAGACCATCATCCCATGATGATTGTCCAACAGTTGATTGTTTCCAGTAAAAAATGAAAGCCACAGTAGCTGATTTACTCACCTTAGTCAGGGTAAACGGGTGCCACTCGAATGCAGACACATCTGAACATTTAATAAAGACATACTAAAAAAAAAACAACGTGTATGAAAACAAGAGTTCATTTTTAACGATATTATTTTAAGTGATAAATGATTCTCGTCAATAATTTTTTTTAAATAAATCTATATATTCTAGATGTCTGACAAGGAAGACCACCTGGATAGATGGTGACGACATCACCTGTCCCGCAGCAGCACTAAAATTACGTTTGCTCATTTTTACTTCCACGACTCCATCGCTATGTTGAAAAACCTGTAAAAAGTTTTAAGAGGTAATTAACAAACATAATAGATTGTTACAAGATTACTCAAACGAGGGAGAATGTCATTTTTAACGCGTGACCCAAAAGCGGCCGGAGACGTTCTGTTTTTATCACCTGAAGAAGATCCACGTTCTGCAGACTCCTAAAAGTCCGAGTGAGCCGCTCCATTATGTAGATGAAAAGAGGCACTATGCACCACTTCCAAGCCTGAAAATGACAAAAAAAAACTCATTAGAAATAGTTTAATCCTTTTGAAGTTCACAGAGAGTTATTTTAATTAACAGAGTTAAGTGAGTTTCACGAGAATGCGCAGAAATCACAAATCTGCTTCTTGATACACCACTGGGTCCGTATTGAAGACAACAGGATGTGCCACTTTTCTCTCAACGAAAACGCATTTCTCTTATGAAATTTCCGCCAGTAACCCTAACGTTACCAGAACTTTATCCGCCATGCTTTCAAATCTGGTTGAAAGCATGACAATATACAATCAAATACAAGATTCCCTTTTTCTCTTTCAAGCAGGCTTAATCTCCTTTCTTTGAAAAATTTGTTTCATTTGATCATGAACAAACTTTCTAAATCTCCCTAGAAACTATAAATGGATGCATAATTTTAAATATCTGCCCAGCTTGTTTTCGAAAGCCGAGTCACATTTAGCACTGGTCTTTTCAACAAAGCTCATTTATTTATCAGCCCGAAAGAAATACCTCTGCTTCATCAGCTTTAAATACGGGATCCTCAAAACACCATGTCACATTACTGTTGTTACCACTAATGTTATTACTCTTTGTTAGTTTACATCCGGGAGAGTGTAATTCCAGGTTGACTTGACGCTTTATAACTCTCCTTAAAACAAAAAAATAGCCTATTAGTTACAGAATTTCTAAATACATTACTTTATAGGTAGTATAGCTCCTATCATCGCTAATTGGACGCAAAATAATACGATCCACGTTAAAGAATAAAATGTTAAAACTGATTCCGTCTAGAAATAAAACAAATAATCCGTTCTTCCGGGTTCTCGGTCAGTAAGAATCCTCAAAAACCTCAGTAAATATCAGCATGGCACAGAAATGGTTGAGCGACAGAAATGACTAGTGCTCATATCAATAGTTCGCCCCGGAAAGGGGCGGGGGGGGGAACCAATGCATTGGAATTTAACTTAGTGAAGTGCACGGAGGTAGAGAATTTGACATCCTGAATGTCCCCAGGGTGGAAAATTTGACTCCGCCGCCATCTTGGATAGTGGAGGGGACCTGGGAATGAGTAATAAGTTGTCCGCCATCTTAGAAAATACCCAGTTGTCATTTGGATAAGTTTCCCGCGTTTCGACTTATTTTTTTCTTCGTGAGTGATGGCAGAACGAAAGTTAGGAGTATCTTGTTGCTTTTTAAACAAAAAATGTTGTTTCTAACACCAATCAGTGATCTATCTATGAAGTTTTATGACAAAGCAGCTTTGAGAAGAAATATTGGCACAAAACCTCATATCAAAACATGCTTTCTACTTACAGGTTTTCACTAGATACTGCTCTGCCACAAGTTTTCAATAAAGCGAAAGATAAAAAAATCACATGTACAGACATGAAAAAGTCCTGGAATTCTGTGTTAGATTCGCTAGCATACTCTAAATGTCCAATTGAAAGTAATTCTGGACCTCAATTACAAACATCAGTCCCTAGGCATTAACCTTTCTTGATGACATGTTCTGACATTGCACATTTTGTATTGCTGTAAATACTATGTGAAACAATTCACAGGTACTTACGGGAGTATAGTATGTGTGTTAAATTGCCATCCACGCTAAATATCTAACCAGAATATGTCTTCTTCACTTGGGGAAATGCACAAAGTTTGTGGGTGTCACCATATGTCACCAAGTAATTACTCTCTGGAGACGCTGAGTGCCGCAATTAATTGTTATAAGTGCCTATCATAAGTTCGCCCCAGGGGCGGAAATTTGACTCATAATGGAGAGCAAGGGTGGGAAAATTGACATTGAAAAACCTGAAAAAGTCAAATTTCCTGTAAGTTGCCGCTCCCCCCCACCCCTCCCCCACCACATCCTAAGGCAAACCATTGATAGGCGCATAAAGCCACGTGTACGGTAACTAACAAATGCGCATGCACGTTAATCTCAAAGTCCAGAAGAACACCACTATTTCATTCGCGACACAATAGTTACTGATGTTAACCTACCCAAAACCATGGACAAACAGCAGCAAAAAGAACACGATAAACAGATGATGGGTGTACCAAAATATCTCATACGATACCCGCCTATAAATCAAATAAAAGTTACACATTATTACATGGCTAGCCTGACGTATGTGTGTTTTGTCTCTGCTTAAATATTTACGCCTTTCAGATCAGGCAAGTAATCATGCATTCAATCCTTTTACGGTTTTCTCAAAAATAACACATTGGTTAAAAGACTGAGATCTAGTCAACAAGTTACAAAACTAATATAGATTCTTACGCTCACCTAACAGCAGGCGTTGATGTCACAATCTGTAAAATTGTAACAATAAATATGCGTTATTGACAAAGTCGTGTTCGGTGAAGATGGCTGGATATTGGCCAATTTCTCTTTCACCAATATACAGCCATCTTCACCAAACAAGCTTGCTCTATAAGGGATTTGATGGCTAGCCTGTTCCAGGCTCCGAGATAGTGGTGAAAAGTCGTTCAATAAAAGAAATGCAAAAAACGAGCGGGGGCTGGGGAGAGACCTTTCCCAAATTGCGCGTGTCTTATTTTCGCGTTGCTCGATTTAATACGTCCCCATTATACTCTCTGAGATCCTTGCACAAGCTATAATACGGCCAAAAAGATAACTTTTTCTTGCGGGACCAACGCGGGAAATCCGAGCGGGGAAGATGGACCCATCTTACCCACTCGGTTAGCCAATCAGAACGCACGATTCGCTTGTCTGCTTGTGGATTCATCCGTATAATAAAGAAGGTTACTGTCATTACTATTACAAGGTAACAGATTATACGAGAATTACCAGCAAATTACATCCTATAGTGCTCTATTAATCAGCCCTTGAATTGATCGATTTAACAGTACCAAGGGTCAGCACTAATTACACTTTGCATGGAAAAAAGTGGGGAATGCGAATTGATGAAAGGACCAACTGCCCTCCTTTCTCTGACTAACCTGGTGGTATTGCCGGGAAAACTCTCTGACTGACAGACTACTGACCGCGAAAACGGAGTGCGAAAACCAAATGAAAAAGCAAGTGCGTCGGGGAGAATTCATTGATTCCTTCAACGGAGAAGTACTTTGGAAACATGATATTGTAATGATTGTCTATACTTTAATGAGTAACAACTGACTGATTGAATGACTGACAGGCTGACTAGCTGACTAATAACAGATACGCAGGCTGAATGATTGGAAGAATGCCATTGACTTTCTGCCAAAAACATTTACATAAACAATTAGTCGCCTGAGGCGACGTCAATATTGGCGAATAGTCACCGAGACAAAGTCGAGGTGACTATTCGACGATATTCACGTCTCCTGAGGCGACTAATTGTTTTAGTATAATTACATTGATGATTATTCGACAAAATAAAATTATTGATCAATTTCCACTCTGAAACATAGCGCTCTATTTTCGACAATCATCAATTTAATTATACTAATATTGTTTAAAATTAATGCTTCAGAGGGTTATTACATTATACGTACCATAGAAAGAAGGACTATCACCATTAATAATCCTGTTAATCCTGCAACTGAAAAGGATATGCGATATAAATTTCATAAAGTGATTAGACTCTAACGAGCTGTGTCGTTGCTGCCCATTCCGTTTTATTGGTAAAGTTGGTCAAGCTTTTGTTTCAATAGTAAATAGCACTTCGAGACGACTCAAGGGAAACAACTAAATTTACTAATTTCTCCAGGGTCAAATCACTAAATGAAGCCCATCAAGAAAAACCTCCACGTGTACAAATTTATGATTCAAAGTAAATCTCGTCGCGAGGGTAACTTTCGCTGGTACTTGCACTATTGCCAACTAAGGTCATAGACTTTTGCAATGTTCTGCTTAGAGACTATTGGGGGGAAACACAAAGGTGTCATGTGACCCCGAAGTAAGGAGATCGCGTGCTGTTTGGTAAAAAAATATTGCAGCCATATCTTCAAAAGTTATGATTTATTGAACCAAGCTCAGTACATAAACCAGAAAACCTCTAAGTTTGGTCTTTGTTTTCATGTAAAAGTAACTCACATTATGTCACGTTTATAAAGCTAAGTGCGCCAGCCCAACCTAAATAATTTCAGGAGAGAACGTGTAAATAAAAAAACTCACCTGAGGTAAAAACTAGCTCTAAAGGCTCCTGAAAATAAATAAATAAATAAATAAGTAACTGAATATACCAACAACCAGGAAGTTGATTAACTAATTAATGAACAAGCTGTTTATGGGTCAGCTGATGGGTGATAGAGTCAAGTTAGTTAATAGTGATCGCTAGTGATTTTTTTCATAAGCACTCACTGCGTTGTTATTCATTGGTAGGTCTATTTGTCGATCATTTGTTTTACTTCTCTGCGATATCCGCTTTAATACAGCCTAACTTACCTGGTTATGATAGGAGGCAAAGTTTAAATCCCTGAACTTTAAACTGTAATTGACGGAAAATCTCTTGGCATTTATAACATGAGCTACAATGTGAGTACCTGATAACAGAGAAAAATATATTTAGCTTGGACAATTGCTTGAGTTTTTTGTTGGTTGAAGAAAAGAGGTTCCTGGAGGGAACCCAGAGCCTGTCGTTTCATCTGGTTACTGGTCATATGGTCTTTTGAAGCGAGGATCGTTACAAATTAAGCCGAGTGGCTCTGGGGACAAGAACGTACCAGTCGACACAATGATACCAATTGCGCATGCCTTGTGAAACCAGACATTTCTGTCCAAAACGCGTCTGAATACACAGCCAATAACCTGCAAGTATATCCATATTTAGGACAAATTAAATTTTGATCAACAAAGTAACAACCAAACGTCAGATTAAAACAAGGACCAAGTTTTAGAATTTTGAGCAGCTAACCCTCACTGACCCTCACTGGTTTGTTATTGTGGTTTACCTTCACAAGTGTTTCTAAAACAAGGACGCTTACCGCCACTGCCCATGTTATATGGCTGTGTGCATGCGTTAGGTGCTGATCATATCGCGTAGTTTGGTAGTGTGGAGGTGCTTCAAGTTGCTACATCGGTCTTAAATACATGTATATAACCTGCTCTATCAAATAAAACGAGAATGCTGCTACTGCTGATAATGATAATGATGATGATGATGATTTTCGGCTGTAATTAGTGTGACGAAGTCGTCTAGTAGTGAGCATCAGAGGTAAGAACGTCTGTAAAAGGCTTTGAACTCACCTTAGCCCTGATTAGCGCCAATGTATTGCGACACATGGGAAGCAACACAAGGAAACAATTAAGGCATAGAACCGAGGCTGAACCTCGCGACCAACACAAGCTATCCTATAAAAAAAGAAAAATAATAATAAAAATTGAGAGTTTTACTGCCTGAGCCTCAGTTGCGGACTAGTAGCAGTCAGTGGATTACACTGGGTATGATATGAGAATGCGGATAACACCCGAGAATTGCTTTATTCTTCAAATCATAAGAAAGACGAATCCAACAATTGCTTTAGTATTCATTACAATAAAGTTTAGATATAACGCGCACACTGACTGGTTGAAAAGCGTGCCTTCTGAGAGTATAAAACACGAAGCTAAAGCTGTCGCGCCATCTGTTTGTTTTCAAATTGTCATGTTGATAACGAACAGGGTTTTTTTGAGCCACAATTTGGCCGGATTTATTTGAGCATTTTACCTGATTTTTGGACGTCAAAAGTACATTCTTATGCATTCGACTTCACAGAACGTTTCGCTCGTTTTCCATTGTGATAGCATTTAACAGCTTTGACAGCTTTTTAATTATTCAACCAATCAAATCATTCAGTGGCCAATTCTAAATTAAAACGGAATGATTGTGATTGGCTTAAGCGTGCTAAAACATGCTTCGCTTTGATAATAACGTTTGCTTTGAAAATTAAAAAGTGATGCATGGGAAATTAACGGATTCTTTATCATCAAAAGTTATAAAACAAATAAAGAAGCCTTTGACTGTGCTTTGTTGTGTTGCAAATCTCTTAGCTGGGAAGCGGCTAGAAAACTCAAAAAGTAAGGAGAAACACGAGAAGTAGTCGAGTGTTTGTCCCTACTCTTCGTTCCTGCTCTAGCCGCTTCTTGTGTGCTTTACAACAAAAACAGAGCACAGTCAAGGATTCTTTATTTGTTTATTCAAATCTGCATGCCCGCCATGGATTATCCAGCTTTTCATAATGCACTACTAAAAAAAGCTGACCCATCACACCACTTATCTGTATGTCAAACTGGACATTGATAAAGGCAGACATCTTCCAAATCATGGTTAACGTCACCTGGTTATGACGCATTAGCTGGAACATTCATGCCAGTCAGAAATTTATGAAATATTTTAAATAAATAATAATTTGTATTAATTACAACAGCACTTACCCCCTAACATGGTGTACAAATATCGATACTCAGATGAGTATCTGTATTTGTAGAAGAAACGTAGAAACACCAGCACATTGATGGCAAATATTATCGCCTGCGAAACAAAGTTGACGTCAATAAAAAAAGTCATACTGCATTGGAAAGTCAAGGGGTTCAAACCACTACCTTTAAAAGCAAATTGGATAATTTACGCTTTCAAAGGAAAGACATTTCTTTCTTTTTGGATCCCCAGAGCTGATCAAAAATGACATTTTATGTACCAAAAACACTTGTTCATAGCTAACATTGATAACACTTCTCAGTCCTGGGTGATTATACGACTGCGAAAAATCTTATTAGGGTATTGAGAACTGAATGCTCATTTAGATATGAGTCACTTACTTACATGTGTTTTTGTACAGACATTGCCGCCCAATCTAAATTTGACGCGGGGCGTATTCTTTTAAAATCCGGGGACGACGGGGGGGGGGGATGCAAAAGAGATGGGAATGTTAGTCGCAAAAATAGAGGAAATTCTGATAAATCCCGGAAGAAAAGCAATCTGGACGAGACTCATGCTTTGAATGACCACAGACAACCAGCACATGAGAGCTGTAGTAATATTAATTCAGGTAGTGAGGCTGCAGCAGAATGCGTGGCCCTTCTTCCTTTCCACCTTTCCTCTTCTGCTTTCTTAATTCCTTTAGTACAGTCCTTAGTAGTGATACCTGGCCGCCTTAATTTATAGTAGACTCGTCCGGCACACGCCCTACCTGATATAATCCCAACAATCTGCAGTTTAGAAGAGACGACAAGTATCCGCACCCCTGTCAGACGGAAGTGTTCCCAAATAGGCCATTTCCGAGTTCCCCAGGCCTCTGTATCAAAACGAAGTTAAGTCCTCAGCCTTTGATATGGAAATGATATTTCATTCTCATGCAAGTAAAACTCATTTTCACAAGAAAAGTTGCGCACTTGGCCTCATTTTGAAAGTGAGGGTTTTTGGAACTCGGAAGTGGCCTATTCTAACGCAGCACTGAACCTTCGTCCAAGATAGTCGTGCAGTCGTTTAGTAAAAAGTGATGCGAAAAACACGCGGGGGCTGGGAAGAGAACGGACCTCGATTCGCGCCCGTCTGATTTTCGCTGTGCATAATTATTTTCGCGACCTCCCTACTATTTGAAAGCGTGACACAAGCTAAAGCTAACCTTTATTAAGATTTTAGTACCATTCGCAGGTTATTGCAGTTTTCACAATGCGCCCGTCGAAAGGGTAACTCGTCGCTCTCATTTCAGGTTGAGGCTTGCCTGTTAACCGAATCGACGATGCTGAAAAAACGTGTAAGATCTTGAACTTCGCGAATACTTAGGTATAAGGAAGCCAGTGAGTTTATTTTATGTGCGATTATATTTTTTGATATTATTTATTGTTTTTTTAGGCCAATCAGTAAGCTATGCTAGTCCCACCCGTTGCAAAACCAAGTGTGCAATATTTTTTGTTTTCTTTTCGCTGTCACATAATTAATGCACTAGAAGACTGATTAGGGTGTGGGCTCAGCTATAATCGCCGCGTTTTGTAAACACCTGGCATAGTTTCCTGACCAAGCCCTGCTTAACTACTGAAACTTCCTCTTTTTGATAAAAAAGACATAATTGAGCTACGCGTATAAACCACAAACAAACCAAGTTGAAATGTTCGAGCTTACTATATTCATAGATGACGGCCAGGGAGTTTACGAAAACGCTTTTTATTAATCGTTCTTAAATCATTACCACCAAATTTTGTCGACAATGCGTTATTTTAGTGTAATTCAATTTCACATTCATAGGTATACCTTATTATAAGCTATTATAGAGCTTACTCACAGTGCCGTGGCAGTTAAAGCGGTTTTAGCACTAATGTAGGACTTTATCAACTGAGGCAACTGAGTTTCAAAAAAAAAGATTAAAAATGAAAAAATTGAAGATTTACATTAATAAGCTTACAGTTTTACAATGAAAGCTTCAAATTAGTATATGTGTATGGCAAAATGAAAAAAGGGAAAATGGATAAAGATTTCATTGTTTTAAAAATACTTTCGGAACGGAGAACAAATTGACTGTTTCTGAAATGATGGTGATCGGAATTTTCAGCTGTTCCGGACCTGATGAATGCGTTACACTTTGTTATTCAGTGCACCGAAAACTCAGAGTAGGTCGACTGACCTAAGGAAATCACTTTCTTATTAGCTTCCGCTCAAAATTTAAATTTTCATAATAATACTGTCCAACCAACAACAAAATACTAAGCCAAGCAATTCGATATCAATTAACGATTGCTATCAATCCACGTCTCTCTTAAGATGTTGCCCGTTTTACTTCAAAATCAACCTATCGCTGGTAGTGGCTTACATGGCAAAAGCATAATAATTTCCACGATTTTTAGTCAAATTAAAAAGAGAGGGTGCATTTTCCGATACCGAGAATACAAAATCTTGTTCTATAAGCCGGTGTTTTTCTTGTCAATACATGTACTGTATCACTTTTGAGAACGTTGTCCTTGAAAAAGAAGATCAGCTTTTATCATTTTCAATAGCTTGCTATAAAATCACCTTTAACGTAATTGCTTAATTCGGCAATGTTAAACGTGATGACATTAAGAGCTACTTGAAGATGATTGTGATGCCTTCGTACACTGTCTCAAAGGTTATAAGTGGGTGATACTGTCTGTATTGGCTATCAGTTAGGGAAGGATACCAATACTGGATTTGGCTTCGAACATTAGCTTATAAAAATATAGAGCTAAATTAGAGCTAAAAACATACTCACCGGCCCGATAAATTTGCTTAGAAATCCGGCAAGGAATCGATGCAGACATTCTCTAACCTTAATCACTTTAGTCATCTTGCAGATACTCACTTCTCGCCGGAAACCGGCGTGCTCAAATGATCTAGAAACAAGGCCAGTTAGTAATGATATTGAAAGTAGAATTCTAGACACGTGGACGACGAATACACAGACGAGGGGCGCGGAGAGTATTTTGAATCTAGACGTCAGTGGGACAATAAAAACCCTTTTGTCTGCCTGAAGAGAATAATAACAACCAAGCTTCCGGTTGGCTAGATGGGCGTTTTAAAAACCCTTTGTTGTCGGCTCCGGTTCAATGTTTCACGTCACCACTACCGCATCTCAGTTGCCAACCAGAGACAATTTAGAATCTCTTCGGCTTCCACATAATACAACAATGAATGAAAATGTATTGAATAGATATAACGAGTAGAGGGGGCTAACCGCAGGGGGGGGAGGTTGTTCTGGATTTCATCAAACGGGGCAAAAATCAAAGCCCAAAAATCAAAAATTCCTGATTACCCCTCCGCCTGGGATATAATAGCCAGTAACCAACCGGAGAGAGTTTGGCATTCGCAGCTGACCCTGTGTACAGCCGTCTCCTTGTTTGAGGGGAGGGGTGGCTGTACACAGGCCAGCTCGCAGTACAATAAAAGGTCAAGCAACCCTGTCAGCTAAAGACAAACCGGTGATGTCAAAAATTGGGGGTATAAAATAAAACACAAAGCAAAAGAGCCAGTTATAACAACACAAGTTCCTCATCCTATGTGTCCTATATCTTGATAACGTTAATGGCAGGGTACTAGAAGCCAGTATTCAAGAATCTCAAGCATGTAAAGGCATGATGAACCAAAGCCTATTTGGATAAAAAGCTGCAAAGAGTCATAACTTTAAGAGAATTTACGTAAACATGATGAATCTTGGTAATAACATAAAACTTGACATCCTAAGTCAGTGTTCTTGCTTGAAAGGGAATTTTTGTCACGTGACTCATTACAGCAGTTTTCTTTACTTGAAGAGAAAAGTGAAAATGAGCCGCCGAGATGACATGTAATGGGTATATGTTAAAACACCAACGTAATTGTCTGGTTTCTCCTCTTAAGAATCTGTCCAAAAGGAATAAGTTTAAAAATTAGGTCACGTGACCATTTTATTCTTCTAATAACTTCTTAATAAAATGAGATTTTTCTTCGTTCAGGACAGAATTGAATTTATTTATGTCAATGAATACTGTATGGTTCTTTTTGCCTGCCACAGTTAAACGCCATTAGCCCATTTCATTTCCTCTTTTTCTTTAATCATGACGTCATTAAACACTCGTGACCTCGGTTAAAAATGTCAAGGATGTTGAATTATTTCTGCTTCCTACTTCAAATGGTCGAAGGAGCTCCTAAAATAACGCTACTTCTATTAAGGAAGCTAATTTCTTCGTGGCGGGTCCAGGGTCAGAGAAAGGACCTTGCCTTGAACATGTGACAATTGTTTCTGTTTTCTTTTCTGAGACTTGCAGTCTCAATCAGTTAGAACAAGCTCTCAAGTAAAAGATGAATGGACGGATCACACTATTCTTTAGACTACAAATAGTCCCCATTTTTCCTCAGGCATAATAAAGCGCGTACTCGCCTTTCTCGAGTGTGGTGATTTTCACGCGCGCTCGCGTTTCTCTCGCTCGACTATCCCGAGGGAAAATGGGTACTACTCGTAGTCTAACTATTTTTTTTTTTTGAGGTACCTCTAACTCTATCGACTATGGGAGACTCTAAATGGGGTAGTAGCTTTGATTGACAGTTACTTTTTTTTCCAATTTCGACAGTTGACGGCAAAATTTTAAATAGGGCTTAAGACGGTTGACGGTTATTTGGTGAAAATTTAGTTCAATAGTTGAAGTAGGTGATATATTATATTTAGCTGTTGTGTTTGGAGGTTGCCTTGGCCTTTCACTTCACAAAAATTTCCAAATATTTTAAGATATAAGCATAGTTGTAAGCTCTTGTAGTGTCCCACAACTACATGAACACTTAAACAGAAATATCTACACTTGGTTGTTGTCTCTGACCTTTCCTTTGAATCAGTTTCAACGTCCAAGATGGCGGGAGAGTATTAGTCCCGAAAAGAGTATGATCATGGTTCGCTCCGCAAAAACGCCTGGTTTGCAGGCTACTGTGACGGTACGTCACAAATTCTCCATCTTTTGGTGCAGCCTCATTGCCCAGGCCAGTTCGCGCTATCCGAGTTACCAGAGGAGGCTTGGAACCGAGTGCGATGGCGCAGGTCCTCCGAACTTTCCCGACAAGCTTGACAGGTGACGTCACATCCGAAATCGCCG